ACGTTGATCCATGCATGTACTTCGCGAACGTACTCGCGAAAGGGCGTAGTACCGGCTGGGTCCCAAGAAGGGCCGGTAGTACGCGCGTCGTCCATCCCCTGCCGCATGTAGCCCACAGCACATCCCATTATCACCCATAGAATGCCGAAGATAGTTATCTTGATCCAGTGCATGTGCATCTCGGCTTCGGTGATTGGTTTAGGCTGTGGTTTGTCAGGCTCGGGCGTAGCAGCCGTAAGGCGCCTGAACGGCACGGGATGCAGGTGGCCCCGCTGCGGGTAGCCCCGCAGAGTGACCACGTTCTCGATCGAGTTGCCGATTGGCATCTGGTGGAAGTCGGGAGTGAAGTAGCGCAGTGAAGTAGGAGAGAGCGTCTCGAGCTCGCGGGTCGCCCCGCTGGCCCGATCGCGGACTGGCTCCGCTCCACGCAGAGCCGGCGCAACATGGTATTCCACCGTAGTAGTAGTCCACCAAGTTGTGCCGTGGATTATGGGTATTAGAGCGAGAGCCAGCCACACGAGAGTGTAGCCAGCTCCGCTACCAAGTCGAAAACGCACTGGTAAGCCAAGATATATGTTCCGCCTTAGGCGCTCCCATATCCCAGGCTTTGGCTCATACCGCATGAGCAAGAGAGCAAGATGAAGCATGGAATCTGGAGTAAAGGATAGAAGGGGCATCTTCAATAGAAAGGTCTTTTCCGATCTCAGATGCGAGTAGTGCGCCTCGGTGAGGCACAATCACATGTTCGGCCGGGCCCGGCTTGAGCCAGGCACGGCAGCGGTGCATGCTCGATTTACATCTCGCCTTTAACCCTCTCCGTTTAAAGTATTCCGCATCGGTCTCCGCAAGCGAGGACGCTCGCGTGCAGCTTTGTTTCGGCAGCTAGAGGTGCGTGGCACATCTCCCCGCTGCCTTAGCGACATGACGGCATACGATCGTTACGATCGTTGTAACGACAGGCTGAGTCCCAAAAAGACACCCCCTCCCCCCTCCCCGACTTCCCCCCCGATCCAATCGCAATCTCGCGCGAACGCCTCGCGGGGGGGGGGGAGAGAGAAGGATGCGTGCGACTTGGAGGCGGGCGGTCTGCTGCCCCCGAGCCACCGGCGAAGCGCCGCCCCCACCCCCCACACACAGGAGGCCCAAACTGAAGAACTACGCTGGGATTGAGAGGCCACATCGTCGCATGTCTGGGGCGAGGGGAGCGCGCCGTTCAGCCACATACGCGCAACCGTGACCCTGGGAGCCAATGACCTCCGGCGCGCAGCTTACGGGGCTGCGGAAGGGGGGGAGAGGAGGGGGGGGGGTGGCAAAGCCAGGCGCGCAAGCCGCTGTTGTTGCGTCGCGTTCGGCGACGGGGGGGGCCCAAATGGCCCGCAGCAGGACACTCTGGCGGAGGGTCGCTCATTCGTGTAGCCGACCTGTGGCCAGAGCGGAGGACGCCGCGCTGGGCCTCTCACACCCCGCGGAGCCGCTGCCCTCCTGCACAGATGGGCTCTCCGCGGGTCGCCCGTACAGCAGAGCGAGCGGCTCGGCGGCGAGCGGCGGCGGCGAGCGACGAGGACGAACGACGACGAGGGCGGGGGACGACGGCGGACGACGGCGACAGCAGCGGACAGCAACGACGGACGACGGATGACGACGACGAACGACGGTGGACGACGACAGCCAGATGACAACCGAATGACGGACGACGGACAACGACGGCGGACGATGACGACGGACGACGACGAGAGGCGTCCCCGCTGGCGTCGCCGGGCGGAGGCGCATCTGGATGGCCTCGCCGTCCTGGCGGCCCCGCGTCTTTCGTCCTCATGCTCGTCATCGTCCTCCTCTTCGACGTCATCGCCCTCCCCCTCCTCCTCCTCCTCCTCCTCCTCCTCCTCCTCCTCCTCCTCCTCCTCCTCCTCCTTCCTCCTCCTCCCCCTCCTTCTCCTCCTTCTCCTCCTCTTCTCCTCCTTCTCCTCCTTCTCCTCCTTCTTCTCCTCCGCCCCTTCCCCCCCCATGCGTCCTCCCGCTCCTTCTCCTCCTCCTCCTCCTCCTCGTCCACCTGCTCTTCCTCTTCCCTCCTTGCATTTCTTCCTCCCTCCTCCTGCTCTCATCCCCTGCGCCCCCCCCCCCCCCTCTCAGTCCAACTCGACGCCTCCTCACACCTTCTTCTCCTCCGCATCCTCTTCGTTCATCTCCTCCTCCTCCTCCTCCTCCTCCTCCGCCTCACCCTCGCTTTGATGTTTCTGCCCCTCCTGCCTTCTGTGCGCCCTCGACTTAGTCCCCTTTCTCTTCCTCCTCAGCTCCCCTTTCTCTTCCTCCTCCTCCTCCTCCTCCTCCTCCATGGCCCTCCTACCGCGCAAAAGGAGAGGCCATATGGGAGCAGGCCCCTGGGGGTCCTTCTCGGAGCTCTAACTGTCCCGCCAACGCATTCTCGCGGCAAGGACCCCCCCCGCCCTAGACCGACGGTGCCGGGGCCGCCTCGCCGGGGGGGCGACGCAGTCCTTGAACTTCGGCGCAGAGGGCAGGGAGCTGGCGAAGGAGGCCATCTTGTCGGCGGGGACCTGAGAAGCTGGCAGCTCCTCCTCCTCCTTCTCCTCCTCCTCCTTCTCTCCTTCCATCCCTTTTCCCCTCCTCCTTTCTCCTCCGCCGCCCCTCTTCTTCTGCTCCCCCCCCTGCCCCCGTCCGTCACGCCCCCCCTCCTTCCTCCCTTGGCCGCCGCGCGCGCGCGGAGCGCCAGGGCGGCGACGTCGTCCACGCCCGCGCAGACCTGCCGGGCGCGCAGAGAATTCCTCCGGTTCCGTGGACGAACAGAACATTCCTCTGGCTCTTTGGACGAGCTCGGCCGTCGAGGTGCCTCCTGGAGGCATGCTGGAGGCCACCTAGATGAGGCCGGAGTAGATGGGGTCGGAGGATCGCGACGCATCGCCGATGCATCGGCGATATATCGGCGATGCATCGACGATGTGTCGGCGACGTCGACGATGCATCGGCGACGCCGGCGCTGAGAAAATCGGGTTCCCCATCCACGCGCATCGCCGATGCATCGGCGATGCATCGGTGATGCGGCGCGATCCTCCGACCTCATCTACTCGGACCCCATCTGGGAGGCCTAGACCCTCGGAGTTGAAGAAGAAGCACCCCTGCATGAAGCGTAAGGTCGTCGCTGTGATTGCTTGGGTCGACCCTGGGCCCCCCTGGCGGTGCCGTCGCCCCCGGGCGCGCTCCGCGCGCCAGGGAGGAGGGTCCAACGCGGATCTGAGAAATCTGCGCGGACCTCCGACAGCTTATGCGTATGCCACTTGTTTGATCATCGACTCATACCGCTCGTTCGTTGGCGCAACACTCCCGGCATGGTGCGGCAAAGCGGTATGGCATGGCATTCCATGGCGTGGCCATAATACGAAACCGCACGGCATGGTGCAGCACATCATTCCGTTGTGCTGTACAACTGCGCATGAATTTGAGTATGACGGCCTGGCATGTCGTAGCATGACATATCATATCCTTACAAGGCATAGCAGGGCAACGCATAACAATGCACACCATAGCATCGCACAACATTGCATATCGTAATACCACGTAGCAGAGCGTAGTACGTCATGGTACTAATGAGTCATAATCTCAAATTCCACCAGACCCCTGTGCGTAGGTGGTTTAGCGGACTAACTTTTCCATCTCCGTTCATCTCCTTGAGGGAAGGGTTCACCTTTCCCGGGAGTCTGAACGGAGGTTGCGCAAGGAGTTAGATCTTCGAATCTAGCCCCACATGGCTCCAAGGTGGCCCCTGGCATCCCAAAATCGCCTGCACAGGAGAACAACAAGCTGTATGAACAGAGCATTTCGAATGTCCGCGTAGAACTCTAGGATCTGCCAAGAGGGCCCCCACGATGGACCAACGTGGCCTCCAACGTGCATCCAAGAGACACCCCGACGGCCGAGCTGGCCCAAAGAGCCGGAGGAACTTTCACTGGCGCCTGCCTTCTCGCCCTTTTCGCATCCGAAAGGCCTCCGAGGCCTCGGGCCTGGACGTACAAGAGCATCCCAACCTGAGCTGCCCTGATACGTACCACGCAACCCGTGGCGTGTTGACACGGAGCTCGAGCTCAACACGTAGACTGAACACGTAGGTCTGGCGCGATACGTTCGCCAGAACGTGGACCAACACGTGCCGAACCAACACGCAGCGTGTTAACACGGCCGTCTTGAACACGGTACGTGCTGCGTCTCGAGACGGGCGTAACAGGGCAGCTAAGATCCCCACCCCAACTTGGGAGACCCTGGCCGACCTGCCCACGGTTCTAGGTGGGCAAGGGTCCTTCGCTTGGCACCACCGACGACCACCTACACGCTGCGAGAGCCACCTTACCCCTTACCCTGCCTTGGCGGCGCGCACAGGGGCTCGTGGGGGAGTGGGGAAGGCTCGTTAGAATGAGGCTGCTTCTCAGAAGGCTCGGGCCCCACATCTATAGGTGGATGGCCCGCGCCTTCTCTGAGAAGCAGGGGTGCTGCTGAGACGCCTTCCCCCCTCCCCCGACCCCTTTGTGCGGACCGCCAAGGGAGCTAAAACTCACCCTGCCCCAGTCGGGGTCGGGATGATCCTGCCGACGACGAACAAGATGGCCCGGCGCATCTGGCCGGGCGCTCGACGCCACCCGGCTCGGCGCGGCCCCCTCCAGCGGGTGGCCGCGAGGGGCCGAGGGCGGAGAGGACGAGCGGCGTGCAGGGCCCGCTGTAAGGGGAGAGCGGCGACGTCTGCGCCGCTCAAGGGCTCCGCCTCGCTGATGCTTCAAATTCTAGCGCCGCCCCGGCCCCCTCTCTACGGCGGGGGCCGCGGCGCTCTCTGAGCGGGAATCCCCAGACTTCCGACGATGCTGAGTTTGTTCGACCGATGCGTTCATTTAGAACTTCGGCATCTGGGGGGCCGCCCTCGGGCCCGGGGGCCATCAGGTCGGGACCTCTTGGGGCCGCGGGTCGGCAACAACTCGCACCGTTGGGCGTCTGGGCTGGCGTCAGCCCAGCACCACCTTGCCCGCGGCCCAGCTCCCGAGCAACGCCCGCGCGTGCAGCTGGAAACTCTCGTACTCCTCCCCAGACATGGCCCGGAGCGCCGCCAGCAGCGCCTCGCGCCCGCCCGTCGCCAGTGCCGACGCTGCCTCTGCGGGGGAACGATCGGGGGGACCAGCTCAAGGTCGGAAGCTTCGCCCTGGAATCGGCACTACATCGCCGGTGGATCGGCGACAGTTCCCCGGTAGTCACTCCGCACGTTCCTGGGCGGGTTGGGCCATGGGCCATCGAGCCCTGAACCGTCGATGAATGGGCGATTGGGGGTCGATGCATCCCCCCCCTGCGCCCATCCCCCCTGACGTCTCCCATGACGCCTCCCCGAAGGTGGAGGACATCTTGTCCCGGCAGAGCCGCCCGGAGCTGGCCTCGCAGAGCTCCGCAGCCAGGGCCTCGCGCTCGCTGGCGTCCCCGCGCTCGTCCCAGGCGCCGGACGCCGCGCGCGCGCCCGCCGCGGCCAGCTCGGCGGCGAGCTGCGCGCGCCGGAAGGCGTCCGCGCGCAGAACCTTGGCGTCGATCTTGCCGCCAGTGGTGGGGAGCGCCTCTCGATGATCCTCAGGACGCGTGTTAGCGTGAACGTGCGCTGGTCCAACGAAGCCCTTCGATACGACGCAGGCGGTGCAACGAGGGCCGAAGCAGCCAGAGTGGTATCGGCGAAGCGGAACGGAGTAAGCACACACTCAGGGCTAGCACACGTCCTGAGGATCACCGAGCCTTGCGGGACACGTGGATGGCGTCGGGCATCTGCCAGGAGGACAGGCCCGACTCGCGGAAGTGCCCGCGCAGCTCGTCCGCGCTCAGCACGGCCCCAGCCTTCGCCCGCGCCCACGCCACCACCGCCTCGCCCGCGCCCGACGGGTGCCACACGCCGACCACGGACGCTTGTCCGACGCTCGGGTGCGAGTAGAGCACCTCCTCCAGGTCGCGGGGCGCCACGTTGAAACCCCTGTATGCTGGAATGATGTCCTTCATGCGGCCGACAATATAGAGGAAACCGTCCTCGTCGATCCTTCCGATGTCGCCCGTCCGGACGAACTTGCCGTCGGGCATGGCCTCTGCCGTCTTCTCCGGATTCCCGTAGTACCCCATCATCGTCACGGTGGACCGGGCGCATATCTGGCCAACGCCATTCTTCTCCACGGCGGGTGCCAAGCCCGATCCCGGCCGCTCGAGGTCCTCGATGAAGACGCTTCCAGGAATCACGATCCTGCCCGCACTGGTCATCCGCAGCACGTCGAGCACAGATGCGTCGTGCGCGCGTCTGTGGAACTCAGAGCCCAGCATGCTGATGGGGTGCACCTCGGTCATCCCATAGATTTGACCAAAGCACGCGTTTGGAAACTGGTCCATGCTGCGCTGGATGAGCGTTGGGGCGAAGCACGAGCCCCCGTAGGTGATGGTTCGGACGGACTCGAACGTGCGAGTCGGGAGCTCCTGCAGCGTCTGGTTCATCGCCGCCCCAAACAAGATGTGCGAGTTGATGGCGTGCTTGTCGATCAACTCGCTCCAGAGGCAAGGCCCGCTGGGGTACGCGTCCACCATGACAGTGAGGGCCCCCTGCAGCAGGTGCTTCAGCACCATCACTGTGGCGCAGACGCCCCGCATCGACACCCACATGAGGTGCTTCGTGCGTGCCTGCTTCGCATCCATGATAGCCTCGCCCCAGGCGGCTAGGCCGGCCAGGTCGGCATGGGAGTACATGACACCTTTGGGGAGTGCCGTGGAGCCCGATGTGCTGAAGATAATGGCGGGTACGCTGGCGGGCACTTCTGGCGCGGGGAGCGGCTCACCGCTGCCCTCGGCCATCATTTCCTTCAGCTGGTTCCCCTGCCCCTCGAACGGCGGTAGCAAGAGTGTGAGGTACTCGCCCCCGCCCGTGCGCTCGATGGCCGCGAATTGAGGCTGGTCGGAGATGACGAGCGACGGCTCGTAGCGCGCCACCATGTTCTTGCAGTCCTGGGGGCGCAGGTCTGTGGCCAGCGGCACGAACGTGATGCCTAACTTGAGGCAGCTCAGGAGCAACACCACCATCTCGGGGCGGTTCTCAGCAATGGTGACCACCCGGTCCCCCATGCCGATGCCCATGCGGGCCAGGCTCCATGCCAGACGGTTCGCGTTCGTCTCCAGCTCCTCGAATGTGAAACAGTGCTCGACACCAACGCCGTCGAAGACCAGGGCGTTCAGATCGGCGAATCGTTTGGCTGCCCGGGCCCACTCGACAGCGTAGCAGCCCGCGGGTTCAACCACCGTGGGCGCAGTGCCCTTGGAGGTCTCCGTCGCGTAGGACTGGCGGTTTCCCAGCAGCGTAGGGCCAGCGGGCGCGGCCGCCACGAGGTCCATGGCCAGGGCAGACATATGAGCTGAGTGCAGCGCAGACCTGGGGAAGACTGCTCGGTAACAAGGACGGGTCTTGGTAATCTGGTCGACAAATTTTCGGGAGTCGAGACGATTACGGAGGATATGATGATGGTGGTGACGATGAGGATGCAGGTTGAATTGGATCGAGCGCAACTCCACTAAACGGCTCGACATAATTTTCACCGCAAGAGAGACATTCTGCCTTCCACGACGCGCGTGCCAACCTCTGCAAGTCCACCGCTGTCCCGCTTCAGGCCGCGGTGCGGTCCCTTCAGTGGGCCCTCCGCACCTGCATCCAGCCTCGCTCAACAACGAGCGCCGCACCGGGAGGGCCTTCCAGCTTCCCTCCACCAGGCCGTCCTGCGCAACGCTGTCCGCAAGCAGCACCGCAAGGCTACTCTCCGGCGCCGCCCGAGGCGCCGATCGCTGCGCCGCCAGAGTCATCGGCAACGCTTTCTACCTCTGGGAGGCCGCCACCTCTTGCCGCGCGGGTGGCCCGCTGGCCGTCCCTCGATGATGTCAAAGGCCGCCATGGTCGGCTTGAGCCCCCGCTTGAGCCGCAGCGTTTGCGAATCGCTCGCACCATTCGCCTGCGCACAAGAGTGGCCTCGGGCACGAGTGACCTCTGGTGCGCAGCTTTCGGGCGCCGCGGGGGGGGGAGCTCAGATCCAGGCGCGCACGCCAGTGCTGGCGGCACCGCTTCGGGCCCGCACCAGCGGTCCCTCCGGCGAAGGCTCACCCTTACGTGCACCGGATGAGGTGGACCCTGAAGCCGCACCCCTACGAGACAAAACTTGGCTCCCGTGGAACCCCTGGCCGACCACCTCCCGGCCATCCGCCCAGTCCTCGGCGCAGATCCTCGCGCTCCCCTCTCTCCTTGCCGAGACTTCCCGCAAGGCGCCTCTGGAAGCCATCGCCGCACCTCGCGCCGCACGACGCCACGAAGGCCGCCCGCCGTGCCGACGGCTTCTCGGTGCGGGGCGGCTGCGTCCTCTCGTCGCGGCCTCCTCGGCCACACCAAACCTGGGCGCGCTACCGTTCGCTGGCCCGCCCGGTCCCCGCAGCCGCCGCGGCAGGCCGCAGGACCGCTGCCTTGCGTGTGCCCCGAGGATGCATCCCTCCTCTCGGCCTTCTCGGCGCGCTCCTGCTCCTGGCTGGCATGAGGTGGGCCCCACCTCCAACGGAATTCCCCGCAAGCGTCGCGGACGGGCAGCACGACCGCCTCCTCGCGCTCCTACCCCTTCACCGTGGCCCTCTTCAGCCTCCTGGGCCTCGGACTCCACCTCTGCGGTGGTGGCACCCCGCTCGGAGTACCCCCTCGGCCTCGTCTCTCATCGACGCCTTCGCCTGCCAAACCTGCGCCCACGCTTCCAGTCCCAGACATCCGGCGCTCCGACCTGTTCGATGCGTGGACCCTGGTGCTGGGCTTTCGTCCCGAGCCGTTCTATTGAAAGCCCAATGGCCCGAAATCAGCCCCGAATAGAAGAATCCGCTGGCCCCCTTGCGGGGCCACCAGGCTGTAGGCCGGGAATGTGCTGCTCCCTGTACCAGTTGCAGCTTCTAGTTTCCACTGTTACAGTTCTGCTTCTTGCTGCTTATTATTCCTTGTTGATGAACGCGCGAGGGGGGGAGCCCAAACCAGCAGAACTACTACGCCCTGGGAGGGTTCTCAGAATTTCTGGGGGGGTGAAAATTCACACCCCTCACGCGGATCCGCAGGGGTCAGGGTCCAAAAACATATGGGATTTGCTACATTTTTGAACTTCAGTGGCACCCCTCACACAGATCGGCGGGGTCAGGGTAAAAAAACATATAGGATTTGCCACATTTCTGAAATTCAGTGGCACCCCTCACGCAGATCGGCGGGGCCAGGGTCCAAAAACACAAAGGATTTGCCACATTTCTCAAATTCGGCGGCACCCCTCATGCAAATTGGCGGGGTCAGGGTCCAAAAACACAGGGGATGTGCCACATGTCTGAAATTCGGCGGCACCCCTCACGCAGATCGGCGGGGTCAGGGTCCAAAAACATATGGGATTTGCCGCATTCCTCAAATTCGGCGGCACCCCTCACGCAGATCGGCGGGTCCAAGAACATATGGGATTTGCCACGTTCCTGAAATTCGGTGGCACCCCTCACGCAGATCGGCGGGGCCAGGGTCCAAAAACACAGGGGACGTGCCACATTCCTGACATTCAGTGGCACCCCTCATGCAAATCGGCGGGGTCAGGGCCCAAAAACATCGAGGATTTGTAACATTTGTGAAATTCGGTGGCACCCCTCATGCAAATCGGCGGGGCCAGGGTCCAAAAATAGAAGGGATTTGCCACATTTCTGAAATTCGGCGGGGGTCAGGGTCGAAAAACAAACAGGTCCCGACACTGCTTCACGGCGGCGCCCAGACCTTATGATTTAGCTTTTGCATCTCCCATTATCCGAGACAGGGGGCCGGCGGCATGGGGCGAAACCCTTACTGATAACAACAACACACACATAAACCTTCAGAGGCCGAAGCGGATTTCTCGGATCGGCATTTGCCCCAAACTCGCCAGAGGCACCGCCAGGGGGTCACTCCAGGGGCGGCGCAAGAGGCGTCGCCAGGGGGTCCAGCACCGATCCGAGAAATCCGCGCGAACCGCAGAGCATTCATGCGTGTGCCGGTTTTTCTTCTTCGGCCGAAGGGGCAAGAGTCGGGACAGGCCAGCCGCCCCTCAGGGCCCCGTAAGCGGAGACTCCTTGGTAAACCAAGACGTTGGCGTGCCAGAGACAAGTGCAGCCGAGGGTCGAGGCGCTCTCCAGTCTCCTCTTTCTTCAGCTGGAATGTTCAAAGTCTCGGTCTGCAATGCCCTGGTTTCAGAGGCCCTGAGTCCTGGCTTTTGTGGAGGCGCTCCGCCGCGGCGCGCCGTGGGCGGGCACGCCTGGTCCCCGCCACGGCGCGCAACGTGCGCTTGGCGGTGCGCCGTGCGCTCTCGGCCTCAAGGCACCGCCGTGCGCGCGCGGGGCCTCGCCTGGCACCCGAGGACCCAGCTGCTGTCTTCGCTCGCCCGCCTCGGTGTGGCCGTCGTGGAGCGCGGGCTCGTTGTCATCGCGAAGGGTTGTTCGATGGTGCGATGGTCTTGCAGTCGACGACAGATGCAAATACTGCGACTGTGAGGAAGCGGGCGTGAAATACATTGTCCTCGGCAAACCGCCCGCCCTGACCCGTTCGATCGCATTCCGCCAACCTCCCAGGCCGCGGCCCCTCCCCCCCGCCCTCCCTGGCAGACACGGCGGGGGACACATCAGGCCGAAATATGCGAAGGCCGGACGGTCCGCCGGCGACTCGGTGAGCCTCGTGGCCTGCCGCAGGCAGGCTGGAGGGGGTTATCGCCGGGCCCACGGCAGGGGCGCACACCACTGCCAAGCAATTGCCCTGGGCCAGCCCCTCCTCCTCGTACGACGGCTTCGTTTCGCGGCGACCAAGGCGTTGGCTTCTGACGCCGTGTGCACCGCTCATCCTTCGACGATCGCGGCTCTCCGACACCACAGATCCTTCGATGTCGGCAAGTTCGGGGCTCCTAGAAACATTCAACCTTGAACGCCCGCACAAGAGTCGCCGCGGCGCGAGCTTTCTGCAAGCGTCCCTGCTGGGCCGCGTGCGCATCGTGTGCGCCGCCGTTGCACTCCACATCGCCCCGCCCGCGACATCAGAGAGATGGTGGTGGCAAGATCAGTCAGCACCGAATCGGCAAATCGGATCGGATCGGAACGTGCGTCGGATCGGGCTGCATCCCCACGGAATCTGAATCCAGCCGTGTCAAAATGTGCAACAACGCCGTGCAAACACCAGGCCGCATCGAATCGTCGGAATATCGTTCAATCGAATCGAAGATCGGGCCAGCCGAGCAATGGGGGGCGGGAGGCGGAGGAGGGGAAAGGGGGGGCGACATAACGACGAGGGAAGGCTCGGATCCTGAAGAGCGGCCCGCGCTGGGGCGAGATCGCAATTTTGATCGACGAAGCAAGTCGCCGATACTGGAATGACGTCATCGCTGCAGCGGGAACGCACTTTTGTCAAACACAGAAACGCTCCGATCGAAAGCAAACCATATGGCCTATAACCTTTTTGAATTCTTACCGAAAAAAATTGCATGCGTTATAAAAGAGCTCCCGCTCGGACATAATCCGCCTGCTGGACTCAGTGGCCCTGGCAAGGCCGCTTTACGCCCTCTCGGCAACCGAAGCTCGACGAGATTCGAAACCGGCCGTGCGTAACCGCCTCATTGGCATCTGCAGGTCGGGTCATGGCCAGAGAACCGATCAAACTAGTCAGTCTAAGATTCGCTCCGTGATGGCGAAGGACCCACAGCGGGTGGAGGGGGAAAAGGAGTGACACGCTCAATGAAAGCTCTGACGCGAACGCTGGAGAACTCCTGCACAAATACGGCCGTGTGCGCGAGCGTGGAACAACTGCCTTGGCGAACCATCTTGGCACATGCAGAAGAAACGATTATCCAACTTCGCGCGTCGCGCCCTGCGATGCGCGGTCGTCTTCGCGCTCTCGCGCCGCCGCCCTGGAGAAGGGCGCCTCTCTGGCCAGAGCCGCTACGCGCGAGGCGCGGTTCTCTTCCCGACCGTGGGGGTGAGCTAGTGTTCCGTGCGGACGGAGGGCCCACGTGCAAATGCAGGCGCGTGTGTGGGCAGTAGGCCAGCTGGCCAGGACGACATCTCTTGAAATGTGCGAGAGAGGCGCTGGCCGTGAGAGCGCGGTGAGGCTCGCGAATGATCGGCAAACCTGGTCCAACTCGATTCGCCAAGCCACACTGGACCGGAAACGGATCGCGTCGCACACGAGTCAGAGCAGAATCGGAACCCGGGATCGGACAGTTCGGGATCGCGGGCAGTGCTCGGCCGTTGCAGCCCGGAGGGTGGACTGGCTCTCGTCGGATCGGACCGAGATCGAAATCGCAATTTAGGGATCGGATTGGAGCGAATCGGACCGCGAGCAACCGTGGTTCGGAGGAACACAAGACGACAAAAACATATACTTTCGAAGTCCGCGTGGATTTCTGGGATCGGCGCTAGGCACCCCTGGCGGCGTCTCTGGCGCCACCAATGGCGCGCTCCGCTCGACAAGGAGGGTGGTCCAGCCCCGATCCAAGAAATCCGTGAGGACATCCGAACTTTTGCGTCCATGCCGTCATCTCTGCTTCGGACTAACGCAAAAGGGCATGTAATGTCTTGTCCCTCCGCCTCCGTGGTGGGAAGGGGCGTCGCACACTGGCGGCCTCTTCGAACAGCTGCTGCTCTGTCTTTTTTTCTGCGTCCATGTAGTCCTGGGCGTCCCCCCGCCAAGCTGCCGAAAACACAAGCACACACAGAAAAAAGGCGTACGCACAATCATATACACGCACACAAAGCCATATACGCACGCACGCACGCACATGCGGCCAGCGCTCATAAATACCGAGGCATGTATACACCTGATGTATATTCATACGTGTGCATGTAAGTATGTATGTATGTACGTATGTATGTGTGGATGCCCGCATGTATGCATGCATGCATGCATGTATGCATATATGCGTGTTTGTATATATGTGTTTGTATGCATGCAGGCATACATGTAGGTATGCATGTATAGACGTATGTATGCAAATATGTACGTATGTATGTGTGTGTGTTTACATAGATATGTGTATGTATGTATGTATGTATGTATGTATGTATGTAGGTAGGTAGGTATGTATGTATGTATGTATGTATGTATGTATGTATATATGTATGTATGTAAGTATGTATGTATGTATGTATGTATGTATGTATGTATGTATGTATGTGTGTATGTATATGTGTAGGTATGTATGTACGTGTATGTATGTATGTATATACAAGTGGCACGTGCGTGCCCAGGCTCATACAAAAAAAACTGAAGGGGCGTTTGAAGCAGTAGTGAAATGCAACATCGAAGTCGCACTCGAGCGCAAGTGGGGTTGCCACACCTTGCGATGTGTGTACCAGGGCCCCCAGGAAGCCTCAGGAGGCCCGACTTGGATACCAGAAGAGGCTCCAGGAGGCCCCAGGATTGTGAGTGTTGTGCGTGTGTGTGTGTGATGTATCCTTTGTGTGGTGCGTGCTTTCTGTGTGTTGTAGGTGTTGTGTGTGTGTGTTATGTTTGTCTAGCGTGTGATGTGTTGGGCGTGATTTGTGTCTCTGTGCGCATGTAGTTCTGAAGCCCCAGGAGGCCCCAGGAGGCCCCAGGCGGCCTCAGGAGGCCCCAGGAGACCCCAGGAGGCTTCAGGAGGCCCCAAGAGGCTCCAGGAGGCCGCAGGAGGCCCCAGGAGGTTTCAGGACACCCCCAAGAGGCTCCGAGGCGGGGTCGTGGGTGCCAGAAGGTTCAGAACGCCCCAGGAGGCCCCAGGAGGTTCCAGGAGGCCCCCATGAGGCTCGATTTCGGAAGGATTTTTCAAGCGAAACCGCCATTCCCTGAGAATCGGGGTCACAATTATTGAAATTACCATGTGTTTTTGAAGGTTTTAGGTTAAACTGTTGAAATTCCCATGTGTTTTTGGACCCTGACGTCACGATCTGCGTGAGGGGTGCCACCGGTTTCCAGAATTTCGAGGATGTCCCGGGCGAAACGCCCAGAAAAATAGCGGACGCGTGCGCACTAATCGCCTCTGAGCTCTACTCCCTCGGAGAGGTGCGTATGATAATATATATATATATATGTATGTTTGCCCCCCCTGTGATCTACGTTGCCTGTGCTTTCCTGCAGGCGATCAGCATTATTGCAGCGCTTCAGTATCGAGCAGCACATTGCCGTTGCAAACTGCAAGCGGCGTCGAGAATATTGCGAAGGCAGAAGCAATCGGAGTGCAAATGGCCAAATTGCCAAGACACCAATAATGCAATGCAGCGAATTTCCGTTATCGCGCACTATGCAGAGCATTCCAAAAACCACCAAAAGCGGGCTCTCGGGCTCAATAAAGCGTCTTCAGCATGTCGCCACTGCGCGACCACAACTCCTGCCCTCTATTCCAGAAGGTCCACTGCGCCGGCCGAATGCGGCGCCTGGTTGCGCGCGTGCCGGCCCTGCACATGCGAGACTGGAGGTGCTTCCGCACATGAGCCCAGAAGCGATCAATAATCTGCATTCCAGACTTGGTGCGCAGCGTAGCACCGCCCGACAGTTCGTGATCCACCACCTCGGATAATTTCAGCTCGAGCCAGAGCGTTTTCCCCTGCCGCACAACTTTCTTCTTCACGTGGACGACGTTGTCGCGCAGGACGCCCGGTATCTTCGTCTTGCAAGCGCGCGCCCCGTCAGTGTGCAGCGTCGCATGTCGTCTGGCGAGGTGCCGCTGAGCAATGGGTTTCCAATCGCGCGCGCGAAGTGGACCAGGTCCAGGCGCGCGCCTTTGAATCTTGCATGGGTCGAGACGGGTTAGCACCGAAGTCTCTGGCCTCCCACGTCCGGCCAGTCCTCCCCATTGCTCCCACCTCGCTGGCCTGTCGTTGTCAGAAACTACCACGTCGTCTTCTTTGCCCAAATCCACCTCGTCCGCCTCCACGTCTGGCCACTCGTCGACGGCGCCGAGCTTAATCTTCTTCTCCATCTGCTGGGCGTATCGCATCCTGACGCCGTCGGGGCGGGTGTGCGTGGACTCTATGAACTTGTGGCTGTTCCCCGTGATATGGTGGCATTTGGTTTGTGCAACATCCCAAGTCGCGCAGATGCAAGTCGCCACTTCATCAGCGAGCGAGGAAGTACGCTGCCCCCACCCCGCCGAGAACACGAGGTGGTTGTGGTGAGGAGTCATAAACTTCAGGCACTTCTTGCCGCGGAAACGATAGACTGGGCCTCTGCGTGCAACGTTTTCCAATGGGCCCACGTGCCCGCCCGCGCATCGTGGGAAGACCGTGCCGCGCCAATCTTGAAGATGCCCAATGGCGGTGAGCTTCTTCGCGAGCTGCATGGGGGAGGCCGTGTGCGCGGCCTTCATGGTGCATTGGATAGCGAAGCTGTCACCTCGAGACTTGTGGATATTTGTGACCGTGTCGCAAGTAGGGCCCGTGCGGTGTTTTCTTATTAGCGGCTGGCTTTTGTTTCGCAACCTTCCCGGCCGCGCGTGCCTTCCCGCGTTTGGGCATGCAAGGCTGAAAGGCAGCGAGCTTCTTCGCCCGCGGCCGAGAGGAGCCAACAATCAAATCCAAGGCGTCTGCCTCGACATTGCCGTCGCCAGCCCCGTCTTTGGTAACTTGCAGCAGGCGAGCGCGGCGTCGGCCCTCGCCCCAGTGGGCAACCAAGTCGAACAAGGCCTCGTCGCCAATTTGCATCATCACGTCCTGGCGCGAACGTAAACGATCATCCGCTGCGAATCCCCGCGGACGCGGAGACCAACTAACTGCGTGTCCACGGGTTCCAAGCATTCCAATGTGCAACAGGAAGCAGTGCGCGGAGTCGGCGTAGATCATGTCGCTCAGCTGCACCTTGGAAACCAGAGGACGATGAATCTTCTACCATTGTCGATGAGAGCATGGACCGCGGGCGAACTCTGACTGGCTCGGCTCCCCGGAAACCAGATCCACATTGGCGAGAGCGCTCGCTGCGCGCATACTTTCCCCGGGGGCAACTTGGAGCTTCTGCTGGGACATCTCGCAAGCTGCCGCCAGGAGTGAGGAGGCGTCGTCGCGGTGCGGCGGCGACGGGGGGGTGGGGGGGGCACCGCCTGCACTTCGGGCCTCCTCTCCTTGCTCGGGAGCGGGGGTCCTCCAGGGTATCTCCGCGCCGCTGGGATCTTTTAGCTGCAAAGATGCGCCGTGCTCGTTTTCGACTACAGGCGCAAGTCCGATGGGGCCCTCGTCGTGCACGTCGAGACCCGTTGGCCTCCAATAAGTGCCAGCGGAGACAAGAGAAATTTGCGCTGCTCCCGCTTCTTCTAACTCCTGCTTCAAACTCATTAAAATCCGACGCTCCAGCTCGCCCAAGAAGATGTGAAGCGAGCTGCATTCAGGCCGCGCTCTCGCGACATCCTGATACAACGTGTCGTGCTCGAGGAGAAATCGAGCGGCCTTGGTTACTTCCGTTTCTCAGCCCGTCCAAATGCGGAAGCCAGTCAGGCCGCTCCTCAGGATCTGGCGAATGCCGACCGTTGGGGCTGGTCGCCCAGATGGGCAGCTTCCTGGCGACGTCCACCCCGACGTCGACATACCCAGAGACGAAACTCTTCCACCCGCCCCAGTTGCTGACGACGTCGCACAGAAGTGGGGGCTCTGACTCGACGCATATCCTCTCGTGCCGCTTCAAGGCCACAACCGGCAAACTGAATAATGCAACCTTGATGTCGAGTTCCAGAGCGTCTCTTAGAATTCCAGCCACAGCAGCGCGCCGAGCCTCCTTGCTAATCTTCTGCAGGGATGGGCTTGCTGTGAAAAGCCTCCCATAACCCTGCTTTGCGTATTTGCGAGGAAGGCTCCGCAGGGGGCACTGCTTGCCGTCTCCAGCGGCTTCCACGGACGCGGTCCCTCGTTTTTCAAATAAACGAGCATAGCTTTGAATCGGGGCGCGTCGCCTGTCGGCCACCGAATCGACGCGGGCAGCAAAGGCGACGATGTCCACGACGTCCGCCACCGAGCAGACAACGGAGCAGCAGATGGGGCGAAGTTCTTACTCGTCGTCAGAGAAAAATAATAGTCGCCCCTAAGCCGACCTCCCATGGCCCATCTCTCGCTAGGGGGCGCCGCCGGGGATGGAATGCTGCAATCTCGGGACAGCTTCGCCATCGCGTCAGCCACCGCTGGAAATCGCAGCGCGTAGCGCTGCTGCTTGCCGAAGAAGTTCACGTCGGTGTTTTCCTGGGCCACGTAATCGGCCAAAGGCCCGCGGCTTTTTGCGAGCGACACCAATTTCGTAAACGCGGAATCTCTGGGAACGTCGAGTTTATTGCGTCACTGTTCCCGCAGCCTTCCAGTTCCCCACTTGTCTTCCTGTGCCTCTTGGTAGCTTGCGCTCCTCCCCGTGTTTCTGTTTGGTTTTTCCTCCCACAACTTTCTCAAGCAGTTTGCTAATGTTTCCCAGTCGGGGTCGTTGCCGCCAGACCGCCCGCGTGCGGCGCCAGATGATAAATCCATGACGCATGTGGGCCTGGGCTCGCATTGCTGATTGGGCAGGCGGCGGATGCACTAGCGCGTCGACACCTTCATGTGGTCATCGAGATTATCTGGTTCGAGCGTGCTCACATTGACTTCCAATGTCCTGGCCAACTGCCGCGCGGTTGCTCCGTCGAGCGCCGAGCTTGCGCCGCGCCGCGTCCGGCGGCAGGGCTGCGCCGGG